GCCTGGGCCTGCTCAGGGGTGAGGGTGATCCCCAGTGCCTGGGCCTGCTTAGGGGTGAGAGTGATCCCTAGTATCTGGGCCTGCTCAGGGATGAGAGTGATCCCCTTGGCCTGGGCCTGCTCAGGGGAAGGAGTGATCCCCCGGGCCTGGGCCTGCTGAGGGGTGAGAGTGATCCCCAGTGCCTGGGTCTGCTCAGGGGTTAGTGTGATCCCCTTGGCCTGGGCCTGCTCAGGGGTGAGGGTGATCCCCAGTGCCTGGGCCTGCTCAGGGGTGACAGTGATCCCCTTGGCCTGAGCCTGCTCAGGGTCTAGAGTGATCCCTAGTGCCTGGGCCTGTTCAGGGATGAGAGTGATTCCCTTGGCCGGGGACTGCTCAGGGGTGAGAGAGATCCCCTTGGCCTGGGCCTGCTCAGGGGTGAGAGTGATCCCTTTGGCCTGGGCATGCTCAGGGGCTAGAGTAATCCCCAATGCCTGGGTCTGCTGAGGGGTAAGAGTAATCCCCAGTGCATGGGCCTGCTGAGGAGTAAGAGTAATTGCCTGGGCCTGGGTTTGCTCAGGGAGGAGAGTGATCCTCTTGGCCTGGGCCTGCTCAGGGATGAGAGAGATCCCCTTTTCCTGGGCTTGCTCAGGTGTTAGAGTGATCATCTGTGCCTGAGCCTGCTCAGGGGTGAGAGTGATCCCCTTGGCCTGGGCCTGCTCAGGGGTAAGAGTGATCCTCTGTGCCTGGGCCTGCTGAGGCGTGAGAGTGATCCCCAGTGCCTGGGCCTGCTCAGGGGTGAGGGTGATCCTCTTGGACTGGGCCTGCTCAGGGGTGAGAGTAATCCCCAGTGCCTGGGCCTGCTCAGGGGTGAGAGTGATCCCCAGTGCCTGGGCCTGCTCAGGGGTGAGAGTGATCCCCAGTGTCTGGACCTGCTGAGGAGTGAGAGTGATCCCCTGGGCCTGGGCCTGCTCAGGGGCTATAGTGATCCCCAGTGCCTGGGGCTGCTGAGGGGTGAGAGTGATCCCTTTGGCCTGGACCTGCTCAGGGGTGAGAGTGAATCCCAGTACCTTTGCATGCTCAGGGGTCAAGGTGATCCCCTTGGCCTGGGCCTGCTCAGGGGTGATAGTGATCCCCAGTTCCTGGGCCTGCTCAGAGGTGAGAGTGATCCCCTTGGCCTGGACCTGCTCAGGGGTGAGAGTGAACCCCAGTACCTTTGCATGCTCAGGGGTCAGGGTGATCCCCTTGGCCTGGGCTTGCTCTGGGGTGATAGTGATCCCCAGTGCCTGGGCTTGCTGAGGGGTGAGAGTGATCCCCAGTGCCTGGGCTTGCTCTGGGGTGATAGTGATCCCCAGTGCCTGGACCTCTTCAGGGGCTAGAGTAATCCCCAGTTTCTGGGCCTGCTCAGGGGTGAGGGTCATCTCCTTGGCCTGGGCCTGCTCAGGGGTGAGAGTGATCCCCTTGGCCTGGGCCTGCTCAGGGGTGAGAGTGAACCCCAGTGCCTGGGCCTGCTCAGGGGTGAGGGTGAGCCCCTTGGCCTGGGCATGCTCAGGAGAGAGAGTGATCCCCAATGTCTGGGCCTGCTCAGGGGTGAGAGTGATCTCCTTGGCCTGGGCTTGCTCAGGCGTGAGGGTGATCCCCTTGGCCTGTGCCTGTTCAGTGGTGAGAGTGATCCCCAGTACCTGGGCCTGCTCAGGGGTGAGAGTGATCTCCTTGGCCTGAATCAGCTCAGGAGAGAGAGTGATCCCCAGTGTCTGGGCCTGCTGAGGAGTAAGAGTGGTTCCCTGTGCCTGGACCTGCTGAGGGGTGAGAGTGATCCCCTTGGCCTGAGCATACTCAGGTGTGATAGTGATCCCCAGTACTTGGGCCTGCTCAGGAGTGAGGGTGATCCCCCGTGCCTGGGACTGCTCAGGAGTGAGAGTGATCCCCAGTTCCTGGGCCTGCTGAGGGGTGAGAGTGATCCCCTCGTCCTGGCCCTTCTCAGGGGCTGTAGTGATCCCCAATGGCTGGGCCTGCTCAAGTGTGTGAGTGATCCCCATTTCCTGGGCCTGCTGAGGGGTGAGAGGGATTCCCTGGGCCTGGCCCTGGGCCTGCTCAGGGGTGAGTGTGATCCCCTTGGCCTGGGCCTGCTCAGGGATGAGAGTGATTCCCAGTGCCTGGGCCTGGTGAGGGGTGAGAGTAATCCCCAGTACCTGGGCCTGCTCAGAGGTGAGGGTGATCCCCTTGGCCTGGACCTGCTCAGGGTCAAGAGTGATCCCCTTGGCCTGGGTCTGTTCAGGGACTAGAGTAATCCCCAGTGTCCGGGCCTGCTCTGGGGTGAAGGTGATCCTCTTGACCTGGGCCTGCTCAGTGGTGAGAGTGATCCCCAGTGCCTGGGCCCATTCAGGGGTGAGAGTGATCCCCTTGGCCTGGGTCAGCTCAGGGGTGAGAGTGATCCCCAGTATCTGGGCCTGCTCAGGGGTGAGAGTGATCCTCTGGGCCTGGGCTTGCTCAGGGGCAATAGTGATCCCCAATGCCTGGGCCTGCTGAGGGGTGAGAGTGATCCCCTTGTCCTGGGCATGCTCAGGAATGATAGTGATCCCCAGTGCCTGTTCCTGCTCAGTGGTGAGAGTGATCCCCCGTGCCTGGGCCTGCTGAGGGGTGAGAGTGGTCCTCAGTGCCTGTGCCTGCTGAGGGCTTAGAGTGATCCCCAGTTCCTGGGCCTGCTGAGGGGTGAGAGTGATCCCCTTGGCCTGGGCCTGCTCAGGGGCTGTAGTGATCCCCAGTGCCTGGGCCTGCTCCAGAGTGTGAGGGATCCCCATTTCCTGGGCCTGCTCAGGGATGATAGTGATCCCCAGTGCCTGGGCCTGCTGAGGGGTGAGAGTGATTCCCTTGTCCTGTGCCTGCTGAGGGCTGAGAGTGATCCCCAGTGCCTGGGCCTGGTCAGGGGTGAGGGTGATCCCCTGTGTGTGGGCCTGCTGAGAGGTGAGAGTGGTCCCTTGTGCTTGGGCCCTTTTAGGGGTGAGAATGATCCCCTGGATCTGGGCCTGCTCTTGAGTCAGAGTGATGCCCAGTGCCTGTGCCTGCTCAGAGGTGAGAGTGATCCCTTGGGCTTGGGCTTGCTCAGGGGTGAGAGTTATCCCTAGTGCCTGTGCTTGCTCAGGACTGAGAGTGATGTACTCTGTGAGAGACTCTTCAGAAGCAGGAAGGGTGCTGGTTAGGGAGGAACGTGTTGAAGTGGGAGGAGTGACTGGTATGGGACTCTGTCCTGCAGGAAGACTCTCTACTGTCTCAAGATTCTTTTGGATCTTTTGTTCTTCATATAGCTGAGATTCATGTTTCAATGTTCTCCTCCTTCTGGAATATGTCACTGGTCTTTGGATGGCCATTTCTGTTGGTTCTACAGATTTTTTCTTCTCCGTCTTATCCTTTTCTTTGAACTGCCTCTGCCTTTTGAAGTCTTCTGTCCCTCTGCCCTGCTTCTTGTCTTTCTGCCCTGTAATTACCAGATCTTGAATCTGCCCCATCATCTCTTCACTCTTCTTCTCCAAGGGTACCATTCGCTCTTTCATCGTTTTCTTCCATGCTTCCGACTGCTGCTGTTTGGATTGCTGCTGCACTTCTTTGTCCCCTTTCCTTTGATTTTCTTTCCCATCTTGCTCAATCCTCTTTTGAGTCCTCTGTTTTTTTCGTTCTTTCCCTACCTCTTCTTCCTGTTTCGGCTTCTGCAGCTCACGCATGCTGGATATTTTTTCTTGATCTTCTGGCAAATATTCCTTCTGCTTCTTTTTTTCTTTCTCCTTGTAGTCTTCTCCTTCCAAGATTGTTGGAACATCTCTTTCTAATTCAGTCAATATCATTTGTATTAAATTGTTAATTATTGGGTCTGAGCTCTCATTTTCAAGAATTAAGCTAATTTCAGGTTTTGACTTCTGAAAATCTGGCATAAATGAGACAATCTTTTTTTGTTTCAAAGATTTCTCTTCAACTTCTCCTTTAGTTTTTATATTTTTGTATTTCCTCAAGATTTTAGTCACAGTTTCAGCCACTTTTTGGAAATATTCCTCTGTTTTTGCCTTTATAATTCCTAACTTTTCAACTTCTTCTTTTTTTAATAATTTCTCCTCCTTTAGCATACTCTCTGTACGAAAAGACTTTCCTATGTTATCAATTTTCTCTTTTAGGAAAGCCAGTATGGCTTTTTGAAATAATTCTAGGTTATCCTGTTCGCTTTTGCCATCTGGACTTCCTAAATCCTCTTTAGCCATCTTGACCTTTGAGCGTGATTTAACAAGTAGTTGAGCCTGGGTTTGTTTGATAAAGGATAACAGTTCTTTCTCTTCTATTATTCCTTCTTTGCTTGTGGTCCGTCCTGGAAGGATTTGGTGTTTCTTTCCCTTTTTTTCAACTTTCTGGGGCTCAGAGGTGAAATCACTCTTAAACTGGATTGCCTCTGTTGATCTACTCATTTTGCTTTTGATCTCTTTGCCCACTGACTCACTAGAGGAGTATGATTTTATCTCTGAGGAAATTGGGCCTTTTTCAAGTTCTTGTTCAGGTCTGACCTTTCTGAATTGTTCCCCTGTACTCCTTGTTCCACTTCTGTCACCTTGGCTATTTGTTTCAGTAGAAGAGAAATGTTTACTTTTTGTTTCAACAGATGGCTTTGATTTGCCTTGAGAAAAGGGTTTTCTTTCTTTTTTCTTTTTTTCCAGTGCTTCTAGCTCAAATCGTTGACGAAGTTTGTCCTCTGAGACTTTCTGTTCACCTTTACCATCAATCAGATTTATTTCAGAGGCCTCATGTGAATACCTTCTTCTCTGTGATTCATGATAGTCAGTTTCATCTTTTTGATGGTCATCACCTTTCTTCAGTGATATATCATCTCCAGTAGTATCTCCATCAGGCTGTTCACTTAGCTCTGGGGTTGCTTCAGCTTGGGCTGTATGTGAAAGAGCTGCCTCCCACTTTTTCCCAGTGCCTTTGGTTCCTTTTCTTTGGGATTCATCTAAAATATTTTCAAATTCTTTGCTTAAAATACTGTCCACAGTGTCCTCTATGTCATCAGCTTTGGTCATGGATGACTGTTCAGATAATACTTTTAAGGTTGAAGATGTGGACAGTGATGTGTACAGTTGTTGTCCAATAATAGCTTTGGATTTAATAAGTTGTTCAAATTTTTCTTCTATATCTTTAAGTCTCTGCTGAAGCATTTCATTTTGTTCACTGAGACTGTATATTATTTTCTGAGAGCACTCTTTTTCTGCTTCTCTTGTTTCATTTTCGTATATACTGCCAACTGGGAAGTCAATAGCAGCCTTTAAATTGTCACTTAGTATACACAAGGCTTTAGAAAGGTTGACTATTGTTGATGATATATATTTAATAGCACTGTTTTCCAATTTATTGAACATTGTTGTGCCTATGAGTTCCTGTAGCATATCTTGAATTTCTAAAACCTTCGTATTTGTTGCAAATTGATCGCTAATCATCTGATCTGGTTTTAAGGCATGGGCTGTAGCAGGTCGTTTTACAACTCTGTCTTTCCAAGATTTCCACAGAGTACTTCTAGATTCTGGAAGAATAAATACAACACAAAACAATGAAATTGCATTTCTCCTTTAATTGTGCTCTATTAATGTTTAAGCTTAAAGAATTTAGCCTAAATTGGTTCAGGGTTGTGGCTCAGTGGTAATTAAAAAAATAATTTAGCCTAAATTAATGGACAATGATAGGATAAATATTCCTCAGAAAGCATTAGCTCCAAAATACAGCAGTATTGTTTCAGAAAGATTTTTTTTTTCACAATCACCTAGAAATTCTACTTCCAGGGTGTGGAATATTAATTCTGTTGTGACCTCAACTTACTTTCAGTTACAACTTTGGTAGATAAAATATAAACTGAAACTTTTTTCTGGCTTTGGTTATGCTTAGTTCTTTTTTCTTTCTCTCTTTTATTTTTTATTTTTTTGGTAGTCCTAGGAGATTGAAGCCAGGGTTGCTCTATTACTGATATACACCCCCAGTCCAGAAGTGAGAGTGATCCCTTGTGATTGAATTGTAATCTTCCTGCATTCAGCCTCCCAAGTTGTCAGTATTCCAGGAGTGTGCCACCTCACCAGGCAGAACTAGTAGCAAGTTCTGTTGGAGTCTTCTGGGAAACTGAGGCAAACTCCCCATTCATACTAATTTTTGCACTCAAGTCAGGAAGATTTCATACATGTCACTCAGAGTAGAAGGGAAGGGAAAGGAGAAAAGGGGACACTCTCAAGGAAGAATATGGGTATTCTCAGAGAGGAGAGGGACTCCATTTTCTTTCTTGGGTTCTGTCTTTATTTTACCTTTTCTGAATCAAAGCTAACTTTGTTTCTTTCTTTTCTTTTCTTTTCTTTTTCTTTTTTTTTTTTTTTAGTTGTAGATGAACACAATGTCTTTATTTATTTATTTTTATGTGGTGCTGGGGATTGAACCCATTGCTTCACGCATGATAGGCAAGTGCTCTACCACTGAGTCACATCCCCAGGCCCCTAACTTTAATTCTTTCAAAGGGCCATAAATCAACTGACAAACATTGAAGGAATTTCCAGAATGACTCAGTGATAAACTCAACAAAAATTTTCCCCTAAAAGCCATGATAAAACTGGACAAAGGTGTAAAAACAATCATTTTTGGACTTTATAAATTGACCAAAGATATACAACAAATTGAGATGCATTTATTCAAGAAAAAAAAAGTGGTGGTTTGATAACCTGGAGCTACTTCCATCCCCAACCACCCCAACCCCAGATCCATGGCCTCAAGTTCTACCAGAGTCAGGCCTACTGTGAGGACCAACAGCTCTACTGTCTAAGGGAATGACTTGATTTGGAGCTAAGGATCAGGTGGGAACAATGGCGGGTGATTGTCAAACAATCCCTAAACTATACACAAATTTATTTACAGAGAAGAGGGCTTATTGGATCAGTGATTAGCAGAGAATTTATTAACCAATAAGCTATACTGACCCAAGGATAACCATAGGAATTTGGGCTTAAAAAGACAAAGAAAGGAGCAACAAAGAAGAACTGAGGGACTGCGGCTGTAGCTCAGTGGCAGCTAGGTTCAATCCTCAGCACCACGTTAAAAAAAATAAATAAAACAAAGTTATAAAAATACATATTTAAAAATAAATAGATAAATAAATAAAAAGAACTGACTAGAGATGTTAGTGACTTCACATTGTGTGAGAGAGAGAGACTTCATAGAACTAGTACAGGCAAAAGTCACTAAAACATAAAACAAAGCAGCAATAACAAACCCTGGAATGGTAGGGAGAATTAGAACCTAGAATTGCTACAATGTAATATCTAAAACACCTAGTTGTCAATATAAAAAAAAAGGAAAAGAAAATGCAAAGAAAATGGAAACTGTGACATGTACAAAGGGGAAAAAAGGGGTCAATTAAAATAGTCTCTGAGAGGGCCCAGATGCTGGACTTACCACAAAAAAAAAAAAAAAAAAAAAGACTTCAGAAAAAGCAATTATAAATTTATGCAAAGAGTTTAGGAAACCATATTTAAAATAAAAGGAAAATGTGGTGATAATTCTCATCAAATAGAGCATATCAATAAAGATATGGATTTCTCAGTGGCACACATCTATAATCCCAGCAACTCAGGAGGATTTCAATTTTGAGGCTATTGAGACTCTATCCCCCCCCCAAAAAAATAAAAAGGCCTCTTTTGTAGCTCAGTAGTAAAGCACCCCAGGTTCAATCCCCAGTACCGCAAAAATAAATAAATGAAAATTTGAAAACCAAGTGAAAAATTTGGAGTTAAAAAGTACACTATTGGGGCTGGGGCTGGGGTTCAGCAGTAGCACACTTGCCTGGCATGTGTGAGGCACTGGGTTCGATTCTCAGCACCACATATAAATAAATAAAATAAAGGTATTGTTTAAAAAATAAAATCTACACAATTAATTGGACATGATGGTACATACCTGTAATTCCAGCGACTCATGAGGCTGAGATGGGAGGATCACAAGTTCAACCTTAGCAACTTAGCAAGCTCTTGCTAAGTCTCAAAATTAAAAATAAAAAGGGCTGGGGATATAGCTCAGTGATAAAATGCCCCTGGGGTTCAATCCCCCACCCCCAAAAAAGTACATAACTAAAATGAAAAATCACCAGAACACCTCAAAAGCATATTTGAGCTGACAGAAGAAAAAATATTCAGCAAATATAATGCTGGACTAATTGAGATAATCCAATATGAAAGGCAGAGAAGAAAAAGAATGAAGTGACCAAAGCCACAGGGACTTGTGGGACACTGTCTGTTCAGGTTGCTATTAAAAATATATTACAAACTGGGTAGCTTATAACAACAGAAATGTTTTTCTCAAAGTTCTGGAGGCCCGGAAGTCCATGCTCAAGTAAGAGTTGGTGTCTGTTAACAGCCTACTTCCTTATAGACAACTGCATTTTCACAACAACTTCACATGATAAAAGAGGTAAAGGATCTCTCCTGAGCCTCTTTTGTGGGTTACTAATCCCATTCACAACCCTCTGATTCAGTCACTACCAAAGGCCCCACCTTCTACTACTATCATCTTGGGGGTTAAATTCCAGTGTAAGAATTTTGGAGGGACACAAATATTCAGACTATAGGGGTAATCATCAAGCATACCAATGTACAAGTAACAGAAGTTCCAGAAGAAGAGGAGAGGAAAGTCACAGAAAAGAATTTAAAAAATTAAAAAGACAAAATCATCTCACAGTTGATGAAAAATATTTAATCTCCTAATTCAAGAAGCTCAGTGAACTCCTAAATAGGCTAACATATCTACATACCTCATACTCAAACTGTTGAAAGTCAAAGAGAAAATATTTAAACCAGAAAGAGAAAAAAATTACTTATTCCCATCAAGGGAGACATATGAACTACAAAAGAACCACAGTAAATTTAGCAACTCACTTTTTATCAGACATAGTGGAGGCCAAAAGGCAGTAGAGTGACATGTTCAAAATGATGAAAGAAAAAGACTTAGCCAAGAATTCTACAGCTAGCAAAACTATTCTTCAAATAATGAAAATAAGAGCCAGGTGTGATGGTACATGTCTGGAACCCTGCATCCCAGCAACTCAGAAGGCTGAGGAAGGAGGATTACAAGTTTGAGGCCAGCCACAGTAACTTAGCCAGACTCTATCTCAAAATAAAAAGGCTGAGACTATAATTCAGTGATAGAGCATCTCTGGGTTCAATCCCTAGTAACACATAGATACACGTACACACATAATAATTATAATAATAATAATAATAATAGTAAGAAACAAGATATACAGACGATATAATAAACATATGGAAAGATGTTCAACATCATGTTGAATTGCAAATTACAAAGAAAATTGGGAATTGCTTCTTGCTATAATGTGAGATGATATAATGTTTATGTGATAAGATGAAGGAAGGTGATGACTGAGCATATCATTCACTGTAACTTTTGCAGTTTGATGTATGAGAGCAAAACTAGCGTGAATTTTTTTCCTTTATCATGATTCATAGAAAATTCATTATTATATAGATCTTAGCAACCTCAGCATGTAATTATTATCCTTTCCTGACTAATTCAAGAACCTTGAC